CATAAACATGACACTACCCCCGGGGTTTACACAGACGAGCCGGCGAAGCAAGAAGAGCGCCAGAAGAAAGGGCCCTAGCCGGCGGGGCCCAGCCAGGACAAAAGGAGGTCCCACAAAGCGCCTACACCGGCCGCATTTGCGGTCGGGGTAGACGACGGATGGGGCCCACCTACGAAGGCTGTCCAGGCCTACACGAGATGAGGCAGGATAAAGAGGGATAATCCCCCTCGATCCCAAATCATTGAGGCCAATTTCTAGCCATAGAATAATGGCAGTTGATAACAATAAAAATAATGCTTTTGTAGTTGTGTGTCACACATTATTTTATTATAGTTGTTTTCGTTCATTGATTCCTCTGTTTGAGCTAAAGTAATTGGGGAATTATTTCGGCAGAGAATAGTTTATTGGAACTAGTTCCTTTACTAACTACGCACCTCTAGTCATGTTTCGCCCATCTATTTTCTCAGTTCACACCGAGTACAAAAGTGCAAATAAATTGGAAACGCTGTAAGTTTTAAGGAACACACCTTACACTTGACACTGTCAAATTACAACTGCCGGTTGTGCAGTTTTCTGAAATCTAAAAATAGTGTTTATTTTTAATAATATTTAAACATTTTTTTTCTAAGCCCTGATGAAATGGCATCGGCTTTAGAACAATTTGTCAATACTGTGAGAACGCTTTCTTCACATGGTTAATTTTGTGAAATATCATATTTGAAAATATTTTTTAAGGTTATATTTTTAGGGAACTTCAGGGAACTTTGTGAATATTTAAATAAGTCTAGTGAAGTTCTTTTGAAAAATACTCAACACCTAGATAATGTACTAGAAACATTGGATATACAACAGCATTCTTTAGGCATTCTTGCTGTGTTGTGTGCTAAATTTAGTGCACCGATTACAAATAGCTCACAAGACAATCGTTTCTCTCAAACACAAGACTTTATTTTGGGGTGCAACGGGGAACAAATTAGATTTGCGCCAGATTCATGTAAATATTAGTGTGTATTTATATCTGAACTGACATACTACCGCAATGTGATATATAATAATTTAAAATTAACGTGTTGCAGTTTTTTCATTTTAAATTTTTTTACTTGCAATTCTCTGCAAATCTTAAACTTTTTATTGTAAAATGGAAGTAGAAAATTAACCGATAAATATATTAATTATTATTAAGCTCTGCAAATATTAAATCATGTTTTTGTAAAAATAACATAATTCATGTCGGGAAGAAACAAACAGCTAGATATAGCTTTTACATTGTGCTGATATGTTTTTTTTGTAAATATAATTTAAAGATGAGGTATTTTATAATGTTTGAATTAATATTTTCTCTTAGTTGCAGAATTATGTCATTCTCTAACGAATTATTTAGTTGAACAAAGACAACCTTTGAAGGGAATAATTCTTTTACAAAAGGCAATTTCTAAGTTACGCTTATTTGACTCGCAGCTAACGTCAATTCATTCAGACCTCTGTCAGCTATGTTTATTGGCTAAATGCTTTAAACCTGCTTTAGAACTATTAGATACAGATATTACTGGAATATGTCAAGAGGTAACCCATTTCTATATATAAAAAACATTCACTCATCTCTATCATTTTATAGATCTCACATAATCCGAATGGGCCTCATTTTGACGCCAAATACTTTTTATTATATTACTACTATGGAGGAATGATATACTTAGCAGTACGTAATTTGGATCGAGCCTTGTATTTTTTTGAAGTAGCAATAACAACACCATCACATGCAGTCTCGCATATTATGTTAGAAGCATATAAAAAATATATTTTAGTGTCTTTGTTATTACATGGAAAGGTATGTCCCTAGTTTCCATTTTTAATGCAAAATTAAAAAAGTATCCCTGTATAACGTAATTATTTAATTAAGTTTTCTTTTTAGATTCAAGTTATACCGAAATATGCCTCACAAGTCGTTACAAGGTTTATAAAGCCATTATCGCAGCCTTACCATGATTTAGCAAATGCCTTTACCTCTAATAATACAGCAGAATTAAATACTGTACTTAATAAGCATTCAGAGGTAAGAAATTATATATTTTTAATATGTCACATTTCAACAATATTACTTACTTCTAGGCATTCACTAGAGACCACAATCTTGGTCTTGTAAAACAAGTGTCATCCGTTCTATACAAAAAAAATATACAGAGGTTGACGAAAACATTTTTAACACTTAGTCTATCGGATGTTGCAAGTAGGGTAGGTCTGTCGAGTCCAACAGACGCTGAACGGCATATTTTGCACATGGTGAGTTTATTTATTTATTTTTTCCGTTTAATCAAACGTTTTGTGTTTAATTCAGAACACGTCACATTTTTTATTACATTTGAGTCGAAAAACGCAAAAAATACATTAATATCTGTAAAGTTCTTGAAGCTCTTATTAGCAAAACTTAAATTTGTATATGTTGCTTGCACAATTAATTAAACCATCACTTAAAATGTAAGTTTTTCAATAAAGGTGTCTGCATCTTTAGTATATTTGAGAATATGCAGTGCAATGTTATTTCATTAATATAAGGAAATATTTAAACTTTTGAATGTTAAATGGAAGATTGTTATTATAATCACACCATTTTTGACAAGTTCATTTATAATTTCTCACAGTGTAATACCGAATAAACGGGAAATAAATCTTGACATTATCGACCTTTAGGAAAATGTTAACTTCCATGTCTACTGTATCATTAATGAAAAAAGAAATTAAAAAGAGAACCTAGGATAGAGCCTTGTAGTACTCCAGAAACAACCTGAATTTTGACAGAAATGACAACATTCTACAAATAATTTTCTCTTTGAATGGTCGTGGAAAAAAGTTAAAAATAAGAAGAGACTAAACCTGAAGTTTGTTTAGTAAAATATACAGGGTGATTCAAAAAACCGCTGACAGACTTCTAGAGTAGGTAACACATGAAAAATGAAGACAAATGCCTCCTTAACGAGATACACGGCATCAAAGTTTCTGTAAAATTAAACATCGTCAGCAATAATTCCAAAATGCCTGAACATTTCTATTTCAAATTTGCTATGGATAGTTAGCACCTTAAGACCAATGCTTGATGTACTGCTCAAAATTTTATGAGCAACAGTGTTGTAGAGACGGGGTCAAGGTGACCCCTTTTTTTAAAATATTTTCTATGCCACTGCTAATTTTGTCAAACGTGTACTATAAGGCTTGCTGAATTCGATGTCATCATTCATCAATCGAATTTACTGGAGTTACATAAATCAGCTCCTTAACATGACCCCAAGTGTGTAAATCCAGAGGATTTAAGTCCGGTGAACGGGCGGGCCACTGGATTAGACCACCATGTCCAGTCCACCATCTAGAGTATGTCATATTTAAATAAGCTCTTACTTGTCGAGCGAAATGTGCCGAAGCACCGTCATGATGGAACCAAAGGCTCCTCCGCACATCCATCGGTACTTCATCTAATAAGCTGTTCAAATAATTCATTAAAAAATTAAGGTGAGACTGGCCATCTGGTATATTTGGTAGCCTAAAGGGACCAATGAGCGTGTCACCAATACTACCAGCATGAGCGTTAATTGAAAACTCATGCTGAAATTTTGTTATTCGAATGACATGAAGATTTCCGTCGCTCCATAAATGATTATTGTGGAAGTTAATTATTCCTCGTCTCGTAAACGATGCTTCATCTGTGAATAAGATATTCGCGGGAAAATTGGAATTCTCTTCAAGCCTGCCAAGCAGCCATCGTGACCACTCTAGTCTTGGTGGGTAATCTTGAGGTAGTAAATGTTGAACACGTTGAAAGTGATAAGGGTGCATTTGTTGTTTGCGAAGTGTTCTCCAAGCAGATGACTGTGATATGTTTAAATTTGTCGGGTACTTAACATATTATTATTTTTTATTGCTGTCGGGACCATTTCCTCAGGTTCCGAAGTTCTAGCATAACGCCGTCGTCCAGAATAAATTTTGATAGCTTTTAATTTACCCGTTTCTCTTAATCTTCTATCGATATTATCAAACATTTGCCGATTTGGTGTACTTCGTGCAGGAAACATTTTTCTGTACCGTCTAACTACATCACGGGAAACAAAATTTGCTAGCCCATAACATAGATGCATATCTGTCATCTCTTCAAATGAATATTCGTAATTCATACTATTATTGAAAATAGTGATGTAGCTGAAGTAATCTAAATAACCGTAAAAATGACAAAAAGATGCTTATAAGACTTAACTCACTTGTACACTTATTATTGACATTAGTGACAGCCGATGTTTAATTTTATTTTGAATAGCACAAGCCTACTATGTGAAACTAAAATGAATGAAAATAAAATTGGATTCACAAATTTTCTACAAACGTGTTTTTCTTAAAAATGGTCGCAAGAGACCAATTCGACAGACAATTAAACACTTTACACGAAAATAGTGCCCGTTTAACAAAATTAGCAGTGGTGTAGAAAATATTTTTAAAAAAGGGTCACGTTTACCCCGTCTCCCTTTTTGTCTTAATTTTTCATGTACTACCTACCCTAGAAGTCTGTCGGCGGTTTTTTGAATCACCCTGTAGAAGTCGACCAGATTGTTTACATCTAAGTGTTCTGATGGTAATTAAATAATAAGGCCCCGATTTGTAGATATAAATTTTCGGTGTATAATATTGGTAAATTACATTTAATCTGGTTCTATTGAACTTGAATCGTAAGAAAACGAAAACATCTCGTATAATAAGTATATTATTTGATAGTCATGGAAAAATATATATGTATTTAGCAAGAGAACCAAACCAATCATATTTTTTGCTTATTTTAGATTGAAAATCAGGAAATATATGCAACCATAAACCAAAAAGACGGTATGGTTGTATTTAGAGACGTACCCGATAAATACAGCGGCCCGGAAGTATTGAAAGGTTTAGAAGAGCAGTTAACTTTATGTATGGAATTAGATAAACAAATTTTGGCTATGGATGAAGAAATTCAAGTTAATCCTCAGTACGTTAAAAAGTCTTCGGGATTACAAGATGAAGAGCAACCTAGTAAAAGTACCTATGCTATGTAAAAACACATTTGTAGTCTTATATATTTTTTAATGTTATTGTTTTAAGATTCAGTAATACAATAAATAAATTATTGTTTCCGCTGGTCGTATATTGAAATAAATCAAATTGTGTATAAACGAGATATTTTTTCATGTTTTTGTAACACCAAGCAATGTATGTAATTTGGCTTCATTTCTAATTAAAATTTATTTATAATTGCTCCATAGTTAGTTATATTTATTTTAGTATTATTTTTCTTGTTTTTAATAAGGTTTGAGACACACGACATTTCTTTGTAATATTTATATAATAAATAAAACGTTCACGATCATCATGTTAGCAAATCCTATATTTTACAATTATTTATATTTACTTCATATTGCGTTTTAGTTTTTTCGATACGATGCAAGTTGCGACCTTCCCCGAAACCAGTAAAACCAGTATCAGAAATTAAAATTTTCAAATACAGATTCTACATATTACCAAAAACATATCCGTAAATTTTATTGCTGCCTCAAAAACTTTGAAATATACAAATTCCATTCTACTCAAGCCAGATTAAGCCTGGCGTTTTATAAACGAGAATTCGCCCTTTTAGTAAGACAGTGGTAGAACATGAAAATTCATACAAGTGACGGTGTCCATTAGCGTAATTCAGAATTAAAACAACTCGTAGCACCCCATAACAATTGGTGCAAAGGTTTCTTTAATCAGTAACATAACGGTTAAATTTTTATTATTAGGATTATTTTCCGTGCGACACTTAATATCCAATACAATCTTATATGCAAATACGTCTGACCCTGAGAGACAAAAAAATCCTAAGACGACTACTGTGTCTATCTCATCTGTTCGACGGTATCAAAACTGTAGAAATGTTGAAATACGAGGATCACAGGAAACATGATTGCCCATGTAAACAACGAAAAATATATCTTTCCTGTTTTGTCGAGAGTTTTACAAAAAGTACTTAATATTTGTGATTTAATCACATATTAATAGTTTCTTGAAAGTATTTTGCAGGGTGTGATTGTGTTTATAGTGCCATATGTGATTTTCTGTATGTCTAACAGGCGTGTAAAGATTAGAAAATGTAACGATAAACATAAGAGGTAAAAATATGCTATTATCCTTAATCTGAATGTATCGTCTGTTTGAAAACTGTCTTATACCCTTCTGAAAACTTGTGTAATAAGTACAGTGAAGAGATATTTTTTTTAAAAGCTGCTAGTAATTCACTGAAAATTACGCACTAAAACGCCCCCCTTAAACAAACGTCACCAGTGCAGAATATCCTCACGTTTTCAATAAAACAGGTTAACAATTTTAAAGTAAATAATTTTTAATACTGAGTATGTATGTTGTGATAAATTTCTCAACTCCAAAAAATTTAAGGAAATTGAACTGTTAACTGGTCCTATTTTATATCCGACCTTGTGTACACTTCGTATTATTCAAGAAAATACAGCTTATTGGTTTTAAATTACCCCTCACAATGTTTTCAAAGACAAGTACTAGGTAGATCAAAAAGTAAAGGTACCTTTTTATGTAAACTTTTTTCTCAAAAAGGGTAATAAATGAGATATAGAGACACGCTTTAAAGGGTGACAGTAGTCAGCATAATTTTTGCAGCACATCAAAAGTTTTCAAAGTTATCTAATATTTTAAACATTTACACTTAGATCATCTGCACACTAATTTATGGAGTATTTGAATCCCGTATGTTGTATAAAGCATAGTTTAAGAAATTCAGGTATATACAGGGTGTTAATTAAGTATGTACAATAAATTCAACAGACGATTATTTGGGTGATTTTAAGAAAAAAAGTTCATATAAACATTGGTCCGCAGATGCTTCGTTTTCAAGATACAGGGTGTTAAACTAATGTAAAAAAAAATTTAATTAACACCCTGTATAAATGCGCTTGTAAATTATAAATACTGACTATATATGCTTTGAAATGATATACATTTCGAACAATTTCCGTAAAACAAATATTTTAGTCTTTTGAAAAAATTTTTAATTTACTTTCAGTGAAGGAAATAAACAGCTAGACTTTCAATATATAATTTGAAAATTGAAATGGGTATTTTACAATTTTTTTGTTTTTAAGCAATAACACTAAGTATATAAGATAAAGTTTCGTTTTACAAATGTAACTGCATATATGTTATGCCAATGGTATTCAACCAATTTTCTTTACGGATCCCTTCAAAAATTTGTATATTCAAATACCCCCTTATCTTAAATCTTAGTATAATTAGTGTTAGATATTAGTTACCAGCAGGTAATTTTTTTTTTAATTATTTTGTGCCCAACTGCCTACGTTACCATTAGTACATACAACATTTAGACATAGATTAATTAATGGTAAATGAAACACAGATTTTTAATACATGACTGGAGATTATAGTAAGTGCGAAAATAAAAAAGCTTCTGGATTAGGCTAGGTGGGGTTTTTAGTTTTTAAACGAATAAATACAAAAGCATATAATTTTGTGCAATAATTTTAAATTAATGGAATTGTTTAATCATTAATTAACTTCATTTTTTTTGTCTCTAAGTATCTATCTTGAGAGATCCCTTTGCGTATGCCTTATCTTCATATACGCCTACTTAGGTGTACGCCGGTACGCGTAACTCTGGTTGAATACCATTGTATTATGCTGTATTTGTTGAAATCGGTTCTATTTGTGAAAATTGAGCAAGACTACCATTTTTATTTAATAGACAAGAAATAATATTTTTCACAAATTAAAAAATAAGGTAAAAGTAAAAAGTTGCAAGTAAAATAATGAGATACCACCCATTGCAAAGTATGCAATGCCTTAAATGCCACAAAAAAATATGGCACCTATCATCTGCTCCCTTTAGAAGGATATTCAAATTATTATTTTTGGGAAAATGTATATAAAAAATTACTCGTTTTTTATAATCCTGAAAATGTCGGAACCTGCCTGTATAAATAGAAATGAGATTCGCTTGATAAAAATTAGAGAAAATTTACAACAAATTTAGGAGTTGAACGTTTTTCTAATAAGTGTTTTCAAGGATTCAAAGAGCATAGTATAAACAATAAAATGGGATCGTAAATTCTCATACAGCCGTTATAGGATTAATAGATTACTTTTATATTTGATATCATTTTAATAGGCGTTGTGTATTTACAAGATTTACATTTGCTATTTACTTAGTTAAAAAACATTAACAGAAATCCTATCTGATATGCTCTTTAGATAATTTATATGTAGTCATCTCTTTGAAATGAATAAAATCTAGTAAAACTTTGCACTAACCATTTGTATTAATAGAGAATATTCTACTACCCAAAAATATAGTTACACTTAAAAATTATTAACTAAAAATCAAAAGCTTTTTTTTGAGACACTTGATAAAATATTTGGACATCGGACTGAACAAATCTTTTACAAAAAGGATCTGGATACTATTCACAAAATTTTGATTGAACATGTAAGGTATTGTACCTAGTAGCTTTAGGTGATGCAGTAAGAGATTATATTATTTAAGAACTTTGTATTTTAGTCACATAGTTTATTACACTATTGTTAAAAATGACAAAAACTATATCTATATCATTCATACTTACTAAAGTAATATATAAAACAAATATATATACATAATATTACAAATGGAATGTATTATCACTATCACTAATACAAAATTATCGTACCTACGCCACCATTTTGAATTTTAAATAATCTAAAATGTATAAATATAATTAATAATTTTACTTAAAATATGGCTAAGAAATAAATATTTTTTATGAACTAAATAACATTAATACTGCTTAAGTGATTTGTTTTGGTTTTTTAATTATTAACCCTGACAAATTTATGAAACTAGATAACAATAAACAATAAAAACCAACAATAATATAAATTTTATGTGATTGTAATTTGTTAAAAAACAAGTTACAATCATATCATTTTAAAAATGAACGTGCTTCTTAATTTTAAGGATCAACTTAAATTTTATGCTACTTGCCTTATACTTGTATTAAATATCAGGCAAATATTAAATGATTAAAAGCAAATTACCAGAATTTAACCAGTTACTCCTTATAATTTAAGAAAATTATGTGTTAAACAATTATATTAAAAAATATTTAAAATCATAATTTTTGCATATAAAGCTGTATATCTTTTAATATTCTATCTACTGGATTTTTATTCTTTCCATCGATATATTTAACATCTTTTACTGTGTTTTTAACTTCATCTAAATGATTGAGATGTTCAGGCCAAGCACATTTTTCAAAATAGCCAGGACAGTCTGGTGGATCATACACTCTTTTAAGTCTTCTATTAAGGCACTCTTCTTTGTCAAGAGTGAAATAATATTTTAAATCGAATATGTCCTGCATCGGTTTATAATTAAATACAGAAAATCCTTCAATAATCAATATATTTAATTTTGCTTCTTCCATTTTGTTTCGAACAATATTAAGAATATTTGCCGAACATTGTACACCATTAGTACCAAAAACAATTTTATCTGTATAATCAACTCGTTTAAAATTATTTATGCTAATAAAATGTAGAATATCTTTATACATTTTTTCCATATCCAGAGATGTGATTACATCAAAATTTATGTGATTTAATTCTGGAATCCATATATGTCGAGGATCTTCTAGATCTAGGATAAAATAATCATCCTGGGAAACCACTGTCGTATTTGGTAGAAGATCTTTTAATTTCGTAGCTGTTGTCGTTTTTCCTCCACAAGTTACTCCACTAATCCCAATTATTAATAAAAGGTTTTCTTTAGAGTATTTTGACATTTTTATACATATGTATATAACTTATGCTCACTTCTCAACTGCGTATAATCTAAACTAGATCAATTCGATAGCTTACCATGTTTTTGAAAAATTTTTTAAATATTACGTAATGCAATAACTAGGGATTTCCCAATTCATGCTTTTCCATGAAATTTCAACATCCGCGCCGAACCGAGAATATTTTATTATGTCATAGCTTAGAGGTTAAAGAGTTAGAGGTTAGAGGTTATACCACACAAAACATGTTTCACACTACAGTACGCCATTATTCTATGGCTAGAAATTGGCCTCAATGATTTGGGATCGAGGGGGATTATCCCTCTTTATCCTGCCTCATCTCGTGTAGGCCTGGACA